TACAGCCCCTCCGTCGGAAACATCTAGTCGCCCCCTGGGGGAAATTTTAAGGTTATTGTCGGAGCAAATTTACGTTTTTCGAAAACCTCCTCATTGTGGTGCTCAATAATATTTTCTTTGGAATGTTATTCAGTAAAAACATTCGATCATTCACATTCGAAAAATTTTCTTTGAAAAAGGAACTTGATTCATAGTAATAACTATTTTAATTCAGAGATATGACAATTTGTAACTCAAATATGATCACTGAAGACCGAGATCGAGATCGAGATACCCAAATGTATCGAAAAGAATTGGAATGTATATCAGTACAAGTCTTTTACAAGAGGATATCATGCCTATATGAACGTCTGGAGTCCGTTGGTGGGGGAAATGTTACAATGCAGGCATGAGCCATCTAATGAGGTGGACGAAAATGCAATAGCAAATCATTAGAACTGATTCTTTGCGAAAGGAAAGCATTGTTGGACACGTGCTACAAAACATTTAAAAATATGCTTATTATTCTTGAAAGTGCCAAACACATTACATCTGAAGTTATTGGAAAGAGGTTGAAGCGTGGAGGTGGCTATAGTCTTGAGATTCCAGTAATTTACCACTTTCATGGAAAAGAAAAGTTAGTAAGCTGGGCTGTAAAGAAGCTCGAAGCTGTAAAAAGCCAATTTGATTGTCACGTGTCAAATTGTTTGAAATGAATATTTGAGCAAATGTTCATTCGTCTCAGCTTTTTGTTCGCTGGCTCATAACTTTTTTGTACTGTCCGCTAATTTGAAAGAAAACAGCCAAATTGACTATTATGTGCAAAAAATATTGTCTGCTTTTTAGAAGGTTTTTCATGAGACTTCGACCAGAAAACGATCAGGGGAAGAAAATTTGACCGCTAATCAGAGTTGTCCGCCTTTAAGAGTGTCCATTAATTGGAGAGGTAACTGTATGTTTATTTGTATCCCAAACAACAGTGTCATCTGGACCCTCGAAATTTTCATGTATTTTATGCTAGAAACCGTTATTTTTTATCCTTGCTAGCAAATATTGAACCATTAGTTATGCTAAGACACATGCATGCACAAGCATTCAGATTAAGCATATCTACACGGATAAGGTGCCAAGTGAGCCATGACCCCTCGAGAAATTTGCATGGCCCCTTTTTTTTCCCCAGTCATTTTTACCACAGTCAAAGCCAATTTGTTTTGAACGTATTTCGCGTATTTGGTAACTGAACTTGACTTATTCGAAAACATAAACGTTTTTCTTACATTCTTTGTAATCTTCCTCGCATATTCTCTAACAGGCTACCTCGATGTGCTATTTAAAAACTTTTATGAACCGTTCTTCCATAGACTTTCAGAATTATCCAAGCAAAGAGAACAGCTTAATTGTTAGCGTCTCAGGGTGACTCTGTGGTTTGTGTCGTGGAAGGCAGGTCCCTGACAAGGGTCTGTGAAATGGTTTGAGTCCCTGATATGACCAGATTCACATATAAATTAAAGAGAGTCGCCAGCTCGCTTTACTTTCAGGCCCAGGAATCACCAGATGTGGCCACATGTACCAGGACACAGCTCAATAATCTCAGCTTTTTAATTTCTGAAAAAAGTCTGAAAATTTATATCCATTTTTGGCAATATCCGTTAAAATGAAAATGTATCCTAGAAATGTTGAATTATGTTTAATGTCATTTGGTATTTCAGTCAACATCTAATTTTTAAGAATATCACAAAATATGTTTGTCAGAAGCTCTAAAACATATGAAGACATTCTTCATACAATATTGCTTAATAGTTTTTTCATCGCCGCCCTTCTTCACTATATTTAAAGTAAAAATTGAGTCAAGAACGTGGTTGCAATTGTCGCAAGAAATTTCAGTAGTCTTTTATACTCATATTTACAAAATGATGATTTTAGGCACAAATATCAGTTCTGCATTGTTTGGAATACGGATTGACTATGATATTTTTATCCTGACTGATCCTTACCTTGGTTGACTGATCGATCAATCTGGATCTTCGCTTTTGTAGATTTTTATGATCATGATTTTTATCAATGTCATCGTGTAGCAAGCAAATTTTGGTCTAAAATTGGATTGAACGATATATTTCTTTTACAGACAAGTAATTCAGTATCAGGATGGCAGAAGAATACTCAAGTATCACCAAGAATTCCCATGATTTACACATCGAAATCACATCTGACTTTACCGGATCTCTGAAGATAAGGCCCAGCAGTGTTTCATCTTCGTACATAGATGATGAAGTAGGATCTGATGTCGGTCATATTTATGACAAAAGTCGGGAGCTCAGCACATCAGTTGGAAACCTTAGCCAGTTATCGAGAGATTACGCTCCAGTCCAAGGGGATGAAGAAGTTCAAAGTGACAGTGACCTTGAGTATGTTGTCATTGATTTCCTCTCTGACGAAGAGGATGACGCTCAAAAATCTTCAACTAGTAGGTCTGTTTTGATTCTTTGCAAATATAATTCACGGCATTTTCGACGTAAAACCATCGTTACGAGTTCCTTAATTATTTTTCTAACGAAGAAACGACGTAGCTGTGGTAACGATTCGCTGTTACGGCGAACAGAATGGAGAAGTTTTTGCAGTTTTGCGATGTATTTGTTACGAAGACAGCTGAGGGTGGTGATATGTAGGACGAGGTATTGGTATTACATTTGCCCATTTAGCATCGTCATTACGCTGATTCAAAAACGAAGACGAATACAGATTACAGAGTTTGAAAAGGAGTACGAGACGCAAATTTATCGAGCAGAAGGGGATCAGGAAGAATCTTTCCGTATCTATGTTGACAGAAATGATAGCAAATTGTCTCTAGGCGCAGAGGAAGAAGAAGAGGAGAGCAATTTTTGTCACAGCTATGTCGCATCCGAAGATGGGTACCAGATCTCTTTTATTGACGAAAAGGAGAATCGAGAATTGAGAACATTGTCTCTTTCCGCTGATTTCACGCGTTCGTTTGAGCTGAAAACACAAAGTTTATTGTCAGTCAGCTGTGGGAGTATCAATGGTATAAACTCAAGGGGTAGCAGTGACTTTGACGAGGATGATGTATTTCAAAGGAGTACCGAATACAGTATCGAATTTATTGACGAGAAACCAGTGCAGAAAACGAAAGCAAAAAGACGGAAACCGAAGGACAAACAATATAAAAGGCTAATTACTGCATCAATATCACATGAAGATTTGGATTTTAACATTAATGAGCCCTCTTTTGAAGGAAGCGGAAAAAAGAATGGGGGATTTGAGATTGTTTTCACGAACGAAGACAACCCGGAAGTAAAATCGAAGTTGACACTGTCAGGTGACTTTTCAAAGTCATGTGAAGAAGTTCTTCATTACCCTAGGCCTATTGCCGTTGATATTGACATAGAAGATGATCGCATTTCCAAAGAAGACTATATAATAGTACAAAATTTTCAAGAGCAAAATGGCAATGCTTCTACTTTTCAGACGAGTACGCCTAAAAAAGAGGATTCGAAGACTGATTTGGGGAAAATCTCAAAGCATGGTAGGGAAAAATCCATTTTGAGTGCTGCGCGCCAACACAAACCCAACCAATCCCAACAAACTGATACTGATCCGACGTTAAATAAATCAAGCAATCTTGAGGAAATAGCCCAGATTTTTAACAACAATTCAGACGAAAATAAAGAGAATTTTACAATTTTCTTTCTAGAAGAAGAGCGTATCCGAAAACAGAGCTCCGGTTCTTTGCGATCAAAATTTACAAATGTTTTCAGCAGTATTTTGACAGGATCTAAGAAAAAGATTATAAATGATGAAGGTTCTGTAATGGATGGTTTCGAAGAAGAAAAGATATCAGTGCAACCATTAGTTTTGAATACTATAACCCAAAATACGAAAAGAGATGATATCGAGATAAAACAAAGAGAGGGCGAACATGAACCATGGAAAAAGCGTCAACTTACTGAAGAAATAAATACAATCGCCACAGACGAATGGATTGTCCCATCGGAATTTCACAGCAAAACGCCAGAGGTGGTCATTTCGGATCAAATCGATGTGGCAGTAGTAGAGTCAACTGACTTCAACTTTGAAGACTTGGAAGAGGATCAGACGGACAAAGAAACTTCTGAATCTACTCCTGAAGAGGACGAAGACAGTCTGGACAAGCATGATGAAGAAGCGACTTTTGAAACTGCTTCCACAGAGATAGTTCCTAGAAGAGTTGTTTACAGAGAGAAGATTGTGCAGTCAGATGAACATGACAATAATTCGTTATCAGATCTGAAAGGCAGTGAAGTCTCTCCTGATTACAATATTCAATATGTCGAAGAAGAAACAATTCCACAAGGTGGTTTCGTGAGGACTATTTCTGGGAAAGTGACCGGAAGGTTTAAACGAATTTTCCGAAGTTCTAAAGAAGAGAAAGCACCTGAACCAGAGGAAATATCGACCGAAGAGGAAACACTCTCCGTACAACCGCTGAGTTTGGAACCTGTTAGTATTGCTGACAGTAAAGACAACGTAGACGACGATGACACTGAGGCTAGGCGTGCTCTGCCAGTTGTAAGGGTAACTGTTGATGTAGGTGATATGGAACCAGAGGTTGTCATCTCAGATGAAATTGATGTGGCAGTGGTAGAGTCAACTGACTTCAACTTTGAAGACTTGGAAGAAGATGAGCCGGACAAAGAAACTTCTGAATCTACTCCTGAAGAGGACAAAGACAGTCTGGACAAGCATGATGAAGAAGCGACTTTTGAAACTGCTTCCACAGAGATAGTTCCTAGAAGAGTTGTTTACAGAGAGAAAATTGTGCAGCCAGATGAACATGACAATGATTTGTTATCAGATCTGAAATGCAGTGAAGTCTCTCCTGATTACAATATTCAATATGTCGAAGAAGAAACAATTCCACAAGGTGGTTTCGTGAGGACTATTTCTGGGAGAGTGACCGGAAGGTTTCAACGAATTTTCCGAAGATCTAAAGAAGAGAAAGCGCCTGAACCAGAGGAAATATCAACCGAAGAGGAGACACTCTCCGTACAACCGCTGAGTTTGGAACCTGTTAGTATTGCTGACAGTAAGGACAACGTAGACGACGATGACACTGAGGCTAGGCGTGCTCTGCCAGTTGTAAGGGTAACTGTTGATGTAGTGATATGGAACCAGAGGTTGTCATCTCAGATGAAATTGATGTGGCAGTAGTAGAGTCAACTGACTTCAACTTTGAAGACTTGGAAGAAGATAAGACGGACAAAGAAACTTCTGAATCTACTCCTGAAGAAGACGAAGACAGTCTGGACAAGCATGATGAAGAAGCGACTTTTGAAACTGCTTCCACAGAGATAGTTCCTAGAAGAGTTGTTTACAGAGAGAAGATTGTGCAAGTCACGATGAACATTGAAAATAATTCGTTTATCAGATCTGAAAGGCAGTGAAGTCTCTCCTGAATTACAATATTCAATATGTCGACGAAGAAACAATACCACAAACAAGGTGGTTTCGTGAGGACTATTTTGGGAAGTGACCGGGAGGTTTAAACGAATTTTCGAAGTTCTAAAGAAGAGAAAGCACCTGAACAAGAAGGAAATAGTCAACCGAAGAGGAGACACTCTCCGTACAACCGCTGAGTTTGGAACCTGTTAGTATTGCTGACAGTAAAGACAACGTAGACGACGAATGACAACTGAGGCTAGGCGTGCTCTGCAGTTTGTAAGGGTAATGTTGAATGTAGGTGATATGGAACCAGAGGTTGTCATCTCAGATTGAATTGATGTGGCAGTGGTAGAGTCCAACTGACTTCAACTTGATAGACTTGGAAGAAGATAAGAAAGGACAAAAGAAACTCTGACTACTGCCTGAAGAGGAAAAGACAGTCTGGAACAAGCATGATGAAAAGCGACTTTGAAACTGCTTCCACAGAGATAGTTCCTAGAAGAGTTGTTTACAGAGGAAAATTGTGCAGCAGATGACATGACAATGATTGTTATCAGATCCTGAAGGCAGTGAAGTCTCTCCTGATTCATATTCAATACTGTCGAGAAGAAACAATTCCACAAGGTGGTTTCGTTGAGGACTATTTCTGGAGAGTGACCGGAAAGGTTTCAACGAATTTTCGAGGATCTAAAAAGAAGAGAAAGCGCCTGAACCAGAGGAAATATCACCGAAGAAGAGAACACTCTCCGTACAACCGTGAGATTGGAACCTGTTTAGTATGGCTGACAGTAAGACAACGTAGACGACGATGACACTGAGGCTAGGCGTGCTCTGCAGTTGTAGGGTAACTGTTGAATGTAGGTGATATGGAACCAGAGGTTGTCATCTCAGATGAAATTGATGTGGCAGTAGTAGAGTCAATGACTTCAACTTTGAAGACTAGGAAGAAGAGTGAGACGGACAAAAAACTTCTGACTCTACTCCTGAAGAAGACGAAGACAGTCTGGACAAACGATGATGAAGAAGCGTAATTTGAAACCTGCTTCCACAGAGATAGTTCCTAGAAGAGTTGTTTACAGAGAAGATTGTGCAGTCAGATGAATATGACAATAATTTCGTTATCAGTATCTGAAAGGCAAGTGAAGTTCTCCTGATTACAATATTCAATATGTTCGAAGAGACAACAATTCCACAAGGTGGTTTCGTGAGGACTATTTCTGGGAAAGTGAACCGGACGGTTTTAATACGATTTTCCGAGTTGTTCTAAAGAAGAGAAAGCACCTGAACCAGAGGAAATATCGACCGAAGAGGAGACACTCTCCGTA